CCTGCTGATGCTGCAGCGTCTGCTGGTGGAACATGAGGCCTCCCCCTCAGGAGGTCAGTCTGCAGGTGCTATGGGCATACTTTGACTTGAAGGCCAGTAAGGAGTGGGTATCTATCCCCTGGCAAGGTCTGTTCCATGGACAAAAATCAGAGTTTTCTCTGCAAAAGTAGTCAGTCCAGCATGGCGTCAAGCTAAACCTCACCTCCTTCCTCTCACTGGAGAGCGGATGCATAGCATGCTTGGTTTGATGTGTTTGTGTGTGTGTGTGATGTGTGTAACATGAGTGGGTGTGTTTGAGTCACATGTCCCTATCCTGTGCGTCATGTGCTCTGAGTGCTCTGTCACAGTGTCAGCCCCTAGTGAGAAGAAGGAAATAGGAAACTTGGGGGAGGCTGAGGAGGCAGTGGCAACCAGCAGGGGCCAGCGATGATGTGCTGGAAACTCCCTGTGTGATCCAGGAGAATAATTTTAACGTCCAAATCTGGAGTAGAACACCCTGGAGTCAGTAGTGCTTGATGTTTGGTTCTGTATGAAGAGACTGAAAAGGGGAATAATTTTTCCCCCTATTTTTAGAGTGGCTGAGTTTTTAAATTAAATTTCTGGTTTTTTTTTCTTTTTTTCTTTTTTGTGGAGAGGTTTTTGCTATAGGGTGCGTGTGCTCACCAGACAGACAGAGACAGAGAGACAGAAAGCGAGAAATCAACCCCCAGGGGGGATGGCCACGCCATCTCCTCCATTCTCCTCTTGGGATCTTGGGCACGCACACACATGCGCCTGACGTGAGTTTAAGCCACCGGGTCTGGGACTCGAACCACGGTCGACTACATGGGAGTCCAGCAACATAGCCATTATGCTAACTGCTGGCCCCTAAATTTCTGTTTTTTTAAAGAAATATTTTTATTTATTTTATGTATTTTATTTTTTAAATTTGACCAGAGAGAGACAGAGAAAGAGAGAGAAAGAGAAGCAAAATGTGTGAGAGAGAAAGAGAAAGAGAGAGACAGACTCCTAAGTCCTAGTAGTCCTGGTCATACTGCAGTCCTATTCCCTCCAGTTCTTCATCCCATCATCCCTAGGCATGCCTGCATATGTGCACCTGATCTGTAAGCTGCCGAGGCTGAGACTGGCACCCTGGTCAGCCATGTGGACTCTGACTCCCTCTGCTTAGTGCTTAACTGTTGTGCTGCAGGGCCAGCCCTAGAATCTTTTATAAGGGCACTAATCTCATTCATGAGGGCAAGCCTAGTCACCTTCCAAAGGCCCCACCTCCTAATACCACTACATTGAGGGTTAGGATTTCAACATATGAATTTTGGGCAGACACAAACAGTTTGTCCATAGCATCCTCTACTTACAGACTGTGAACCTTGGAGAAGTGACTCAGCCTTTCTAAGCTTGTTTCCCTTTCTTTCTTTCTTTCTTTCTTTCTTTCTTTCTTTCTTTCTTTCTTTCTTTCTTTCTTTCTTTCTTTCTTTCTTTCTTTCTTTCTCTCTCTTTCTTTCTCTCTTTCTTTTCTTTCTTTCTCTCTCTCTCTCTTTCTTTCTTCTTTCTTCTTCTCATCCTCCTCTTCTTCTCTCTCTCTCCCACTCTCTCTCTCGCTCTTTCTCTCTTTCTTCTTTTTTTTTTGGAGAGATTTTCACTGTAGGGCGCGTGCGCTCGCCAGACAGACAGAGAGAGACATAGAGACAGAAAGCGAGAAATCACCCCCCAGGGGGGATGGTCACGCCGCAAT